AAGCTTTGAGTAAAAGCCTGTATTCATTATATTTTTTACTTTATATAGACTAATGTTTATTGTGTTTGCGTAGTTTTAGATAAACAGACAGAATGGGAATCCAGTTAGATTTGATGTTTTGTCTTTAAATTGAGCTTCATTATCAGCCTTACAAAGAACTAAAACTGCTATTTAAAGATCACCATCAGCAGTTCAAAGAATCTGTATTTGGTGAACGACTTTCCAGTCCAGATTGAACTTATTTAACACATATAATTGAAAGGTGCAGATTGTTTAACGTTTTGTACTTACATTTTTTAATCGTCAAAATATATCAAGGTAAACATGGGTGTCAGTACTGTCTTATAAAACCTGAAATAAGGGGCATGCAGTAAGTAAAACCTGCAGGGTTACAACTAAATAAAAAAATACAGTGGAAAACATCTAAATCTAGATAAGTCGGTTTTTATTTTAAATAAGTGCATTAGTTCTTGAGTTGAGAAGGTAAAAGGGAGGTTTTGCCAATGGAACAGGACAATTTACATTTAAATTAAGAAAACGCAATTGCATTGTCTTATTTCAAGTGCATTTTATCTAAATATCTTATTTTAAGAGTAAAAATACTCATTCCATTGTAAAATCATTTAATTTCCCTACTCGAAATAAGGGTAAATACACTTAATTTCTACTTATTATTAGACAGTTTTTCCAGTGTAAGTGATATAAATTATGTTAAATAGGGATAAAAAAAAAAAAGTATCTTAAAACCTGTAGAGCTCCTTCAGCTTCAAACAGGTTTTTATATCTTTCAGCTTAATTGCTTCTATTCATACTTATACAATGAGGTCTGTTTTTTTGGTTGTTTTTTCATTAGCCTGCCTTGTCTTCTTCTCCCACTGTCTCACAGTGTTTGGGCAGACTGAGTTTATTTAGCACAGCTGTAAAGTGAAGTGAAGTGAAGAGAAGAGAGATTTTGCTGTTTGGCTTTAAGCGTTTGTGATCGGGCGTCATCCCAGGCCTGTCTCTGTGTGGCTCTACACTGAGAACAAATCATTATGACGGTTTGCTGCTGATTTATGCACCAAACCCTAAACTCATCAAACTTTATGTCAGCGTTTGTTTCATAAAAAAAAAAAAAAAAAAAAAAAAACATGCATAAAATTGCTTCAACTAAATATACTTTGTAATATAGCAGCATTATACTAAAACAAAGAAAAGAAATGTGTGTTTATCTGCTTTAAATAAAAAAACAGAGAATATATGCCATAGATTCCTATTAAAATAACATTTATAAATACACAATTATTTCTTTGAAATTATAAGATTGATGAAAAAATGTTGCATAATCATCCTTGGCTTCCTGTTCTCCTTGGATGGAAATATAACTAAATGATCTTTCCCACTCCTAAAAAGAGGAAAAAAAGAGAACATGCACTAATTTAATTAGAGAAATAAATAAATAAAAGGAAAAAACTATATTTGTCCATATCTACAGATAATTAGTTAATCGGATTAATCAAAATTAATAGATTTTTGATATACTCGTCAACTGAATAAGTAATTGATTAATCATTACCTGGATTCTAGAGACTAAAACATCCATTTAGATGACAGAGCAACCCACTTAGAGCAGAAATTATACCAAAAAAAAAAAATATAATCAACATTTTGCATTTAAGATTAAAAAAAAAATGTTTCCTCTGTCATGCTCTATCCAGAACTCCTCAAGTGGAAAATTTGTTTTTTAACTTGGTTTAATTTCGTAAAAATTCTTTTTTAAGGAATCTTTGGCTATCCGATTAATGGAAAAAATAATCGACAGATTAATCGATTTGTAAAAAAGTTTTAGTTGGAGCACTACACATACTACTTTTAAAAATTTGAAACTAAAAGATCGACAACATAGACTTGGTGACGAAGAAGTAAAGAAGCCAAGGATTGCAACAGAGAGTTAAAAACTGTATGTGCCTCATGTTAAGTACGGTGGAGGATATATGATGCTGCGGGCCTAACTAGGAGAGCATGAGAACCTTGTTAGAGAGAACCTTTTTAATGTATCTCCAGTAAAAATCTTTTTGAATCTATTGTCAGAATAATCAATGAAAAAAAACAAAGTTATTTTATTCATGTCCTCCATGTTTAGAAAAATTGCAATAACCATGAAACCAAACAGCTTTTACAGTTGAACACCTTTTTTTTCTCATCTGCAAAGTTCAGTCAACTTGCATGATCTATGATTAGAAGATATAAACAAAGGCTGCCCTGCTGCAGAACAGATAGGATCTGTTCCAGGCTACTGTGGGCTACAGGAAATGAAGCCACGCTGCAAAAGAAACCCACATAACCCAAGGTTCACAAGTTATGTCACCCACTGTACGTCACATCTGTGCACAGACACACATTTTGGGCTTATCTAATCCTGGCTGCTGTTTTCCTGACAAAAAGAAAGCCTTAAATGCACCGCTGGGACTTCAAGACTACCACAAAGGCAGGGAAGTGGAAAACTAATCCGGAAGAGATTGAGAGGGAGAGGTGAGCTCCTCCTGGTCTATCATGGGGACAGGAATTAGTTTGTTTAGTCAACTTGTCAGGTTAAACAAAAGGGAACGGAGCGGTGAGGGTGACCCAGTCCTTTTTTTGGGCAGCTACCATCAAATTAAGGAAAACAAAATGAACTAATGTAAAGAAATTCTCCCTGACGGCCTGAAGGGAGCACAAATCTCACACCCGACTAGTAGAAATACAATTTTTGGATTCTGTTTGACTCTATTTCAGGTCCTTCATGTTAATATAAAGGCATGAAAGCCTTGAGGGATTTCAGTTAACCTTTGATGTGAAAACTTCATCCTCGGCAGCTTGTGCAAAAGTATTTCAGTTGGTGGAAATTTACACTCCTACTCTCCTCCCAATGAACTTTATAACATTTGATCGTACTACAACTATAAACTCTGATGTTTCTAATGCCTTTTTTGTCGTATTTACAATAGAATAGAATAGAATAGAATAGAATAGAATAGAATAGAAAATCCCTTTATTGTCCCACAATGGGGAAGTTCTGGTGTTTACAGCAGCAAAAAGATTATTTAAAAAATGTTTAACACAAATGTGGACCTTAGAAAAAAATATAAGATTTACATAGTTGTGAAGCGTTAGAAGATAAACAATAAAATACTGTTCTATAAAGTGTTTTAATAATATAAAATTGTGCATCTGGAGAATAAAATAACCAATATACAGTTATGGATATTTTTATAATAGCGGATATTTGAAAATACCGTAGCAGCAACTTCAGAGATGGACAAAATGACTAAGAAAGACTAAGACAGAAAGTGTGCAAAATCAGCATGAATGTAACAACTTATTGAGTTTGTTGTGAACAGTGGTGCTTATAAAGTCTTCCAGCTGCTGGGAGGAAGGATCTGTGATAACGCTCCCTGGTGCATTTAAGGTGCAGCAGTCTGTGACTGAAGGAGCTCTCCATTTCTGCAACAGCTTCATGCATAAGGGGGAGATTTTATCCGACAGAGATGTTAATTTAGTTAGGGTCGTTTTGTTTAATTGGGATATAGAAGAAAATCAAACACTTATTGGGTTAAAACTCAGCTTAAAGGAAAAGTCTGGTCAGCAAGGACTAATTAATGGATAATTATTTATACCTAAAACTAATATGTTTGCAGTGATTTAATTAATTTAGCGTCAATCAGTAAAAAAAATTTTAAAAATAATTTATGTTGCGATCACTGAGTTCAGGACTCTAAGTTGGGCCATTTTTGCCCAAATATAGTAACACCTCACTCCTGACAGCAGTGACGTCACGGTGCGGTAAGCCTAGCGCCATTCTCCCCGCTTTACAAGCAAAATCAATGGGAACTACTAGACACATCTGCAATCAACAACTATTATTGAAGATTTCCAGAGGACTTCACCATTGAAATTCACCAGAGCTATAGTGAAACTGACAATGCCCACGTGCATGGCAGCTGGCTGTTGTAATTTTATCTTTTATCTGTACCCCCAAATAATTCAAAATTTAGTTCTAAAAACAGCATGACTCCTGTATCTATCATCTTTAATGTTTGTATATCGATGTGTATAATTAACCGCAGCGTTTCTGTTGTCAAGTAGTTGTTAATATATGAAAAATTTTAATGTTTAATAAGTTTGAAGATTCCCCTTCAGAGTATTACTGCTGCCACAGTCTGTATTAGAGGCAAAAAATGATAGGGGTGGCCAATGATTGGGTAAGGGTGGCCATGGCCACCCCTGGCACACAATCTAGCTCCACCCCTGCACCCTAGGGGTTGCAGACCCCCTGTTGAAGACCTCTGCTGTAAGACTTGCAGCTGGAACATCTGGCTCTACAGCAGATCAGCAGGTTTTAGATGCCTTCATACTAGAACAGATATGAAGTTTCACCCACTGTAAGAAAACACATAAACATCCAGTATTTACAGAAACCTCAGTGGAAGGAAGCAGCTCAGTTCCCTGGCTGGATGTTGCAGGGGTGGTGCCCTGAAATGTAGCTGTGGGTGGGTGGAACCAGTAGGAAACAACAACACCAAGCCCAGATCAACACAGTACTATCAGATCTTAGATGTGCACAAGCTGACTTGCAGATGCATTCACCACTGGAAGCTGATTGCTGTGCATCTGGATCTTCCTGCAGATGCAACTTGTTATTGGTAAACAAAGTGACAGCAAATGCAGCTTCATGTGCAGCCTGCAGATAGATAATCGCCTTTAGTGGCACAGACGAGGTGTTATTGGCTTGTTATACCAGGGGGGAGCCTGTAAGCTGCATGCACTATATGAGTTGCATGAATCCAAACACAGTAAAGAAGCTTCTCCTCTCAGCTGACCCGAGAACTGCTGCGGCCATCAATTATTAATTATGTTTATCCAGGCGTCCCCGTTATAAAGGAGGCAGCCTGACCCACAGTAACCCAGCAAACAGTCACACATGTCGGCTTGTGTAATGAAACCTCTGCCCCAGACTGCCAGCTCTAAGTTTCAGTACTCACTGCGGCTGTGTTGACCCCCTCGTAGTGAAAGAAGAAGGGAAAAAAAGGCCAGTCACAGCTCTTCTCCAGTTTCCCTGCTGCTGTCAGCCATTAAAGTGGCGCCTTAAAGCGTTACAGACTCACAGATAGGATTCAGAGCTGTGTTTAAGGGGTGTCTCCCTGGTTTTCAGGCTCTGTTTCCTTGTCTACGTCCGTATCTCCTGTCTATCTTTCCCTCTTTTCCGTCTTTGCCAGCTCTTCCACTGGCGACTTCCCCGCTAGTGGTGTGCCGCTCACGCCTGAGCCGGCTACGTTTGCTGGCTCTTTTTGTGGGAACGCTTTGACCGCAGGAATAAATACTGCTAGGATTGATTTTGAAACGCAATGTGTATAAGCATATCAAGTGCTATTTTCATGTTAAATCCTGAAACGTACAATTTTGTACGAATTTACTCAAATATTGCATATTTATTTACCCAGACAGTTAAAGATTTTGCTTAATTCACTAGGGCTTTTTAAAGTATGTGCCTTTAACTGCCAATGTTGTGTTGAAGTGTGCAATGCCACATATATAATCATATGCGTATATGTATTAATTAGAATATTATTTCAGAAATATACAATATGATAACTTAATACCCCTGATGAAAACAGAATATTTTTTTAAATTCTGTAACACAGTTACACTTTAAGTCATTTTTTCTACAAAATAAGAAGAAGAAAAAAAAAAAAAAAAAAAAAAAAAAAAAAAAAAAAAAAAAAAAAAATATATATATATATATATATATATATATATATATATATATATATATATATATATATAACATCTCATTAAGACTATATAGTGTTGAAATGGGTAGTTATAGGATATTTTGCAGATATTGATTAGTTTTTCCCTTTTTTTAACTACTTTAACAGTGATTTGTCTAAATGTTAGAGTTTATCATAGGAGGACTCTCACATACAAAGTGGCAGAGTGGTGCTACAAGCAGATAAAAAGGAACACAGAATTAGGCAGGTATTGGGACACATGTAGATTTCAATCCTTCAATCTTCACTTCTTGTAATGTCAAAAACAAAAAAACGCTTCATGTTTTTTGTTTTATACAAGATTAGGCATAACCTGTTTTATTTTAAGGATATTTTTTAATTTTTCTGCATTAATTTAGTTTCAAACCTTGATTTTATCTTTTTGCCCGTTCATTCTTATCTAAGCCAAATGATGCGAATCTCTGTAAGGAGGTGGAATGCCCATTATGTTCCCTGATGCTTTCCTGCTCTGGCACTCCCGTGACGTCACGGAGACAGTGCGCGCGCCTCCGACAAGACCCCATCTCCACGCGCCCCAGCCTCTGACTGGGTCGCGTGCGTGCCAGTCCTATTATAAAAGAAGTACAGTTCATCAGTATAAAGTAGGGGGAAAAAATAGCTGAAATGTGTGTCCTTCTTTAGATATAAAGCTCTGATTGTCTTTAAGATAAAAAAAAAAAAAAGCTAGACTCAATCTTTACATCCAAAAAAAGTTAATTGCATTCTATTTTAGGGTAGATTTAAATAAAGTTAGTTAATATTTAAATTTTATATAATATTATTCATCATGGTCATCTTTACATATACAGAAAATCACTTCATATATAAGAGAAATAAACTATAAAATATTATCTGACTCAGTCATAAAGCATTTAGACATAAAAAAGATTGTGGGTCACATTTCTAAATTTCAACTCATATTCTCTGCTTTTAAATCAACTTTTGAAACAGCATCAAATAAGCAGCAGAAGAACAGAAGCAAACATCACGGTTCGTTGGTGACAGATATTATTTGTGACATTGTGCCCAGAAAGTAGCACCAGTGGCATTAGAGTTAACCTTCAGCTTCTGATGACAGTTAGATCCAATACCCAGAAATAAATGTATTTCTCCTGCTCTCATCCAGCTTACATTGGATAAGCTGGTTGATGAGTTACCAGATCAAAAAGAATGCTTCACATAGATTTGATCATCTGTTGAATTTTTCCCTTCAACTTTATTTAATTGATGCTGTGTTTGAGGAACAAACATACTTTTGACATTTTGTACTAATGCAAACAATTAGCCACAAAAATCCTCCAAAAGAAACCCAAATGATGACCTTCATCAGAGAAACACAGAGTCATACATTTACAGTGTCCCACTTCCCAGGGGCCCAGTCAGTCAGAGAGCTGAGGTAAAAATAACCCAGTGGCGTAATTCCCCCTGAGAGAAACACATCACTGGAGCTTGACCACTGCAACCTTCTATGTCCACTGATTTAAATGAGAATTATGCACCCCGGTTTCCCCATGGACAGTGGGTCTTTGTCAGAAAGACATGTCCTAATTAATCTTATTGATACAGTGTCTTGCAAAAGTATTCGCCCCCCTTGAACTTTTCAAACTTATGCCACATTTAAGGTTCAAATATAAAGATATAAATTGTATTTGGTTTTGAATAATCAACAAGTAGGACACAATCATGAAGTGGAAACAAAATTACTCGACATTTTAAGCTTTTTTTAGAAATAAAAAACTGAAAAATTGGGTTTGCAAAGTTATTCGCCCCCTTGAGTTTATACTTTTTACTGCAATTTCAGCTGCAAGTCTGTAGGGGTCAGTCTCTATTAGTTTTGCATATGAAGAGACTGACATTTTTGCACATTCTTCCTTGCAAATCAGCTGAAGCTCAGTAAGGTTGGAAGGAGAATGTTTGTGAACAGCAGTTTTCAGTGTTTTCCACAGATTCTTGTTTGGACTTTGCCATTCTAACTCCTGCATATGTTTATTTGTGAACCGCTCCATTGTAGATTTAGCTTCATGTTTTGGGTCATTGTCTTGGTGGAAGAGAAATCTCAGTCTCAGTCTCAGGTCTTTTGAAGACTCCAACAGGTTTTCTTCCAAAATGCTCCTGTATTTGGCTCCATCCATCTTCCCATCAATTTTCACCACCTTGATTGCCCCTGCTTAAGAAAAGCAGGCCCAAACCATGATGCTGCCACCACCATGTTTGCCAGTGGGGATGGTGTGTTCAGGGTGATAAGCTGTGTTGCTTTTATGTCAAACATAAAGTTTTTGCATTGTTGCCAAATAGTTTTAGTTTGGGTTCATCTAACCAGAATGTGTTCTTTTACGTTTGCTGTGTCTCCCAGGCAGCTTGTGCCAAAACTTTTTTTTTTCTTCAAAGTTTATTTATGCTTTAACGTGTGGTACAATATAAAGGCATAAAAAAGTTATATAAATAACAATATTCCTTTAACATATAAACATAATTGGGCTAGAACAAACCTCAATATACCCGCATATATACACCCATACAGAATATAAAAAAAATAAACAAAATTAAATTAAAAAAAGTAAATAATAAAAAAATAAAAAATAAAATAAATCAATAGTAATAATAATAAAATAAATAACTGCAAAAAAGGATCAAGCCAGGTGAGCATAATGGGAAGTGGAAAGAAACTGATATATCAAAAGCAAATATTTAAAGTAAAAAGAACCACAGTATTAAAATCATGTTATATTTTTCCCTTCCTTTCCACACAGTCCATACGGGCACTCAAAAAATATATATATAAAAATAAAAATGTTTATTAAAGATATTGATAAGAACAATGCCTAACAGCTACATACATTTCACCTCATCAGTTCTTGTTCCAAAACTTTAAATAAGAGTTTTTATGTATTTCTTTGAGAAATGAATTTCTTCCAAAAGGTCCAGATTTGTGCACTATACAACTTTTTGTTGTTCTTTGGACAGAGTCTCCCACCTCAGCTATAGATTTCTGGATCATCCACAGTGATCATGGGCCTCCTGTCTGCATCTCAGATCAGCCTTCTCTATGTTTGAGCTGAAAGTTTAGAGGGACGGTGGGTCTTTGTAGATTTGCAGTGGTCTGATACTCCTTCCATTTCAATATCATCGCTTCTACGGTGCTCCTTGGGATGTTTAAAGCTTGGGAAATCTTTTTGCATCTAAATCCAGCTTCAAACTTCTCCACAACAGCATCCCAGACCTGCCTGATGTGTTCCTTCTTCTACATGATGCTCTGATTTGAACAGGTGTCTGAGATGATCACAGAGCAGGTGCATTTATACAGAGACTTGTCATCATCAGTCATTTAGGTCAATATCGGATCATTCAGAGACCCTCTCTGAACTTCTAGAGAGAGTTTGCTGCACTGAAAGTAAAGGGACCGATAGATCATTTTGCAAACCCTGCTCTTCAATTTTTTTATTTGTTAAAAAAGTTTAAAATATCCAATAGATTTCTTTCCACCTCACGATTGTGTCCCAATTGTTGATTCTTCACAAAAATAAAAATTCTATATCTTCATGCTTGACGTCTGACATGTGGCAAAAGGTTCTAAAAGTTCAAGGGGCCGGAATACTAACATCTGAATCAGTTATCAACTGATCATGTTGTGCAACCATGTTTTTTAAAGATGCCCTCACTCTATCAGTGCCTTTTGATTAATCACCAGTTTCCTGATCCTGCAGCTTTGGGACACTCTAAGCTCCATCCTTGGGCTAATCATTGGAGTAGGGTTAAAGACTGGCTTTATTGTCTATCTAATGTTTGATGAATGATATCATAAATAAAGCTTGGATTGTGAAAATGCCGTTAAGGCCTTATAAGATACTTCTAGATGTGTAAATTTGTAAGCGACATTTCCTTACAGCTTTGAAGCTTTTTTTGCATAGTGATTTTGTCTCAATGCAAAATGTATACCCAACTTGTTGAATTAATTTTGCTTAAATTCCTATACTTTCTTCAATTGTTTTTTTTTTTTTTTTTTTTTGTTATTTTATGTTGTTCAACAAATCTTGATAAAATCCATGAAAGTTTTGTCTGCATCTTAAAAATGGAGTGTTGCAATTTTATTCTGGTCAAACTAAGAAAAAAATGTCCACCTGTCTGATCACCTATAGCCATGGGGAGCCTGAATCAGCAACCTGCTGCTGTCCTGGTTTTGGTCTTAGATATTTATAAAACAATAGTGCCACTTAGTGGTCACATTATAATATTGCAGAAAAAATCCTTAATTTTTTTTTTTTTTTTTTTTAGGAAAAACTGAAAGTATTACATTGGTCTGAATTTTTTTTAGATCATTTTATGCTATACCTCAGTGCTGTCTAACACAACATTATCAGATAAACAGAGGTCTCAGTCTACAGACAGGTTCCTTCTGGTTTGCCTGATTATCTCCACAGGCATGCATTCCAAAAACAGGGTATAGTTCTGGTGAATTGATGAAACACCAATGAGTAAAGGATCGAAAAGAGAGCCAATGTCTCTATGAGTGTTAGTTTTGTGAAGGAGCACACCAGACACCTGGGTTCCATGTCATGATCCTGAATTTGGTTCAAGATCATGACAAATTTTGAGGAGGAAATAATTTCCTCCTCATCCCTGATTGTTATGGTGAAGTTAATCTCTCTGTTAATGGATTCGCTGACCTCTCCCAGGAGCCAGCTGCTGCTGATCAGGACTTTACAATAGAACCTTTACCAGTACATGAGGCTGGCAAAGGAAGAGGGGAAGATCAGCTGATAGGTCAGTTTCTTTCCATCCTCAGAGAGGGGTGGAGCTAGATAGGGGGCCAAGGATGGCCATAGCCACCCTTACCCAATCAATGGCCAACTCTGTGGCCACCCCAACCATTTTTTCCCTATAATATGGACAGTGACAGCACTAATACTCTCAAGTGAAATGTTTTAACTTATTTAACATTTAAATTTTCTACATGTAAACAATTACCTGACAAAAAAAAAACAACAAAAAAAAAAACACTGTGGTTAATTATGCACATCAATATACTAACATTAAAGATCATAAATACAGAATTCATGCGCTTTTCAGAACTAGATTTTGTCTTTGCTTTGATTATGTTTTTGCAAGTCATCTAGGACTCTTCACTGAAATCAGAGATAAATAACTGCTTTAATAACAAGTAATCCATTTAATGTCGATATTAGTACATGTAAATATTAATTTCATGCATAATGATTATTAATAAAAGTAGGTAAGTAATGACAATGATTAAGATGTTCGCCCCAGAACTCAAACTTGAATTTTGCCCACTACACCTTTAATTCAAACAGCATGGATGTTTAAATATATGCATCTATTTGTTAGCAAAGGCTGTAGGAAAGTTTAGTTTGTCTTTATTTAGAAAATATGGATGTTGTGATTGTTCATTTTCCTTTTGGAACCGTGGAGATTGACCCTGAGGTTCTGGCACCTATCTGCTTTTGGCCACCCCTTAGTGTTCATTGGTTATTGGCCACCATTATTAACATTTTCTGGCTACACCTCTGTCCTCAAAAACCATAAGCCAACAGTTGGCTTTGAAAGGGTCCAAAGTCAAGTTAATTGCATTGTATTCCTGGATCTTCATCAGATGGTCCAGTGGTTTTCCCAGCTCAAGCATAATGGGTAGAAAAGGTAAGAGAAATCAGTGTTTTAAGACTTTTTAAGAATGTTTTGGATAAAATGAAAACCTCTTGTTGTGTTTCAACTGTTCTGCAACGCAGAGGTTTTTTTCTCTAAAAACAAAAATCTTTTAAAGCTGCATCCTTGAGTAGAATTAACATAAAACATCCTGAGGTATGTTTTCACATTAAGAAGAATAAAATGAATCTGCTGTAGAAGGAATCCCTGGCACATGCACCGTATGAGTAAAATCTGTAGAAACTAAGAAAATAATGTTCAAAGGTTTAAACAGTAATGGAAAAACAGTCATGCAAGGGATGTATCATGTCTGGTCTTAAGGGAAATAAACAGTGCTGTACAAAATCAGACGCAGGTTTTTAGTTAGTTTAGATAGTATTTATTCAAATGGCCTTACAAGTAGATGAAAAAAGAAGTGACATGAGACATATTTCTTTGATATTTCAAGATCAAAGTGATTAAAGATTTTAATATTAAAATGTTTGGATTTAAAGCAAAAAAAAATTACAGTAGTTCAGAAACTTTTAACAAAAACTACATTCCCCAGATATAACCATCTAACAATGAAAGTCTATATATATATTTTTTGCAAATAGTCAAAATGATCAGAGCTGTTAAGCCTCACAGCCACCCTAAATCAACTTTCTAATGATGGTTAAATCTATAGCCTCATTAATCCCTTTTATTTAACATTTGATTTTACTTGAAAATCATCTCTCTCTCTCTCTATAGATATGTATATATATAATAAAGTTTACATGATTAGCTAGCTATAGTATTCTCTCTCTCTCTCTATATATATATATATATATATATTAGGAATTTGTAATAAACCTCATTAACATTAACAGTGATTTTTAATCAAGTTGATATACATTTTTTTTCATTAGATCATCCATTTCTCAGGTATCTTAGGATTATCTTAGCATGTGCATTCGACCGGAGTGATAGTAAGACTATCTTGTAAATAACAGCCATTGTACATAAAGAAGGGGTAGATCTTTGGTCTGTATACCGGTGAAAGTCCTATAACTGAGTAAAGCAAACCTTGCACTCCTGTTTTTGTCTCCGTAAAGCAGCATTCTGTTAAGGATTGTAACAGGGTCCTGGAATTGACGTCATAGAAGGAAACTTCTCCCTTCTCGTAATCTACGAACACACCAATTTTTTCGATGTTCTCTTGAAAATATGGCCCAAACCATAACCAGGCTCCTTGCTCAGGTGAGAGAGGCCAGACTTCTCTGTTAACTGATTCTTTAACTACTCCCAAGACCAAGTATTGACTGTTGGGGACTACCACTTCATAGTAGAACCTTCCTGAATTAAAACCTTCATTTGCCAATACAGCACAACAACTTTTAAATTGCCATCGCAAAACAGGGAACCATTGCTCACTCTGTCTTAAGCTCAGTGTCTTCCCATCTCCAGATACAGTAAGATGTGGGTGTGCGCTATAGGAGTTTAACGTCACATTAACTGCATTGCATTGCTGAATCATCATGAGCCTGTCCTTCGGTGGACGCCACGCGTCTTGGACAGAATTTCCCATCCTTTTGTTTTCATCCTCATCTGACTGTTCAGGTGGTTCACTGAAATCAGATGACCTTACCTTATTAATCAGCGTATCTACCTCCTTAATGACTCTCTCTTTAATCTGAGCCACTGACTTTTTCACTATCTTTACATTGGTGGGCTGTTCAGTCAGTTGATCAATCTGGTAAGTGTTCTCGGGTATTTGTTTGAACTGACAGCTCTGCAGCAGGTAGAGGTAGTCTTCTAACTGTATGCGCTTCTCAATATCTGATCTCCTTCTTTTTAAATCAGAAAGTTTTTGTTCCAGGAGAGTTATCTGATCTTCAGCTTGTTTCTCTGATTCTTTCTGCTTCTCTTCAATTTCCTTAACCAACTCTCCCTGTTTTCTTTGAAGAAAAGCCACTAGAGCTCTCCAAACTTGTACAAGTTGTCCAATGTCATTTACTGACATGTCCCTGCTTCTCTGAACTGAATCTTTGTTTTTTCTAACACTCCCTGACATAACGTTCTCCATCTCTTTTAACTCTGAGGTCAAGTTGTCGAAAATGGCTTTTCTGTCTTTAAAGGCGCGCTCCAGTGGAACAACCTTATGTGATGTGTGGTCGTCATTTAAACAAATCAGACAAACACACTCTTCGTCGGTGCAGCAGTAGAGCTCTAGCATCTTGTCATGCTTTTTGCACACCTTGTCCTCCAGATTGGACACAGGATCAATCAGTTTGTGCTTGTTGAGGTTCTGGTGTGACTCCAAGTGTATCTCACAATACGAGGCCAAGCACACCAGGCACGTCTTGCTGGCTTTAAGCTTTGGTTTGGTGCAGATGTCACAGGTAACCTCTCCTGGTTTGGCGATGATCTTAGGCAAGTCCTTGACTCTCATGTGGTTGAAATGCTCCACCATATCTCTAAACTCTGTGTTGACCTGGAGCCTTGGTTTGTTGCCCAACTTTTTCTTACAGAGAGGACACTGTGCAGGTCCACTAACCAGACTGTTCCAGTATTTCATGATGCAACCCTTGCAGAAGTTGTGTCCACATGGAGTGGAGACAGGCTCATTAAACTCACCAAGACAGATTGAACACAGGAGCAGTTCTTCATAAAGGATGCTGCAATTTGAGGCCATATCTGGAGAGGAAAATCAAAGTAGTCATTTTAATACCAAGAAGACGATATAGAATAGACTGGTGTTTCATAATACATTAT